TGGGCTTCTTTAAGCCGTTTTGGGTTGTGTTTAGGGATAGTATAAATGACTTTAAACAACAGATTCACCTGGAATTGGTGTCCAGTGTCAACCTAGTGTTGTAAAACGGAGCCGTTGGTGGATTTTACGGGGCCTTTTCCTAGTGACGCGGGACGATGTTCAGCAATTCTTTTGGACAAACACTTGGTCGTATGTCCAAGATACCTAGCACCACAGACGCAGGTGAACTGGTATACGACAGACGATTCGGACCGAATAAGACGTTCATCCCATGACGGCTGAAAAATCAATGGTCTTGTTTCGGTAAGTAGTATTGGAGTGGCGGCTAGAAATATCTTGGCCACTGCTGTCGAGATTTTTTATATTCAACAGTTCGAACGCAACGTCACCTTTAAATGGAACTGTAAGGAACACATCTATTCTGAGCAATGTAGCGACAGCCTTGACAGCACCCGGCTGTTTGGAGTACGTTTTGTTGAAAGGTACAGCGTATCCATTTTCTTGCCGTGTTTTGAACATGAGCTTGGTTTCGCTTTCCAGGGTCTCGCGGCTGCAGATTGCTCTGACGCGGATATAAATAACGAACTAAATTCCTCTCATATCTCAGCGATACAAAGCTAAGAGTGAGTACATTGACGTACCCACGTCGCTTTGCGAAAACACTCCTTGTAATTGTACCGTTTTCACGCCGATGCAATAGTACGTCTAGAAGCGCCACGCAGCCATCTTCACCGGTGCATTTCAGAGATGGATGCATTCTGTTAAACTGATCTAATAGGGTTAGATAATTAGTGGCAGAGTCAGACAAGGAAAGTGTCAAAAAACATTGACGACACGCTATCCGATTTGCGTTACGTTACATAACACGTTTTAAGCAGAGGACGAAACCATCTGCTCATCATCACTAGCCTTAATGTAGTCGTGAGGGAATCTGCATATGTGTTCGAATGAGTCAAGTAAAACCCTCACGTTTCCCGTTTCCTATCAATGTTTACCTTTGGTTCTATACTCCTTACTCCGGTTGTCCTAAGTGGCTTGTTAAGCAATCGGTTTTTACCAGCTATAAACCATCGCTCATGGTACCCTGGCCGCCAACGGCAAACGCCACAGCACACTTCAAGCATCTTTATTACAAGTTCATTGTAGTAGTTTGCATCAAACAGGAAAATCACCAGACGGACGTCTAATTATATTAGGAGTCCGCATCGACAGTTCGCAGCTCCCAGATCCACTAGGGACCGATCCCCTTACCTCTTTACACAAGCGGCTTGCGCCAGTGGTTAGCAAATTATACAACGGTTAAGAGCTGCGGATCGTCAAGAGTTACAAGATAACTTCAACCTAGAGCGACTCACCGTCCACTGACGTGAAACATATCAGTGTTACGGAGGAGAAGACTGACCCCTGAGTTACGGATTTGCATAACAACACCAAGGCATGACATAGGAATTAGAAACTAGTAGGGCGTACGATCAATCACCAAACAGACCCATAATACACGTTATATCTGTGCATTGAAAAGTCTCCTACCCATTCGTGTAACTCTCGTGTGGAAGCGGAGCGAAACAATGTTCCGTCAACTAATCAAATGCGTTATCCTTGGTCTGGGTGTACAGATGGTTCAGGGCAGTTCGATGATGACATCGCACACCTCCCACAGTTACATACTGGTCGTGGTACGCATTTAGCTTAGCTCCACGTAGAATATCACTGCATTAAGAGTTGGGGTGCTGTGTGCTTCATATTGATGCCATTTGTGCTCGGTGCACACGGCGTTCTTCACGCCTTCTGATATTACATGTCTCGCGGCTCAACCGTCACTGCTATATTAGGCTAACCGCTAGTTCTATATTCTTTAGCTGGTGATCGTGCACATAAGTGTTCTTCTCCTTCAAAATATGATGTGAAAACTTTATCACCGAGAAAATTACTTTGTTCTTCTTTGGCCATATTCCATAAATTATCTGTCTTCCGGATGGCCTTGGCGAATGTAACTTTAGATCCTTTGCTTGGCATATTATTTACGATTGTTCTGAGCTGAGCGTCGCTTTGGCTGTGCTCACACAAGACACGCACCTGACCTCCAGTGTTGACAAGTACAAGTTCTTTGTGATACCAGTCCACATACGCCTCCACAGTTTAATGCATCCTCCTTCGAAAGTCAACAAGCCAACATCTGCACCCGAAGCAACTAATTTGTTTATGCAAACCAATCTCTTTCCCCTCTGCTGAGTTTAATGTTTTCACGGTTATATTTATAGTCTTCTGCACTCGGTCATCACAGGTTAGTTGGTTGCTGATATACGAGGTGAACGGTAAAGCATTACGTCACTTCAAAATGTCCGACCACATGCAGATCCACGTTGCTGATTCATTTGGGTGGTTTTCCTCTTCGCATTGAGGATAAGAGGTCTACGAGTCTTCAGATGACAGCTATGTCATCCCGTGGATGATAGCTTCCATCGAGTTAGATTTAGTTTGGACAAAAGCAAGCGAACCTTGCGTACGCGCTTTCAAGTAGTGTGGAGAAGGAGGGGAGACACAAAGTTAGAAAATCAGAGCAGAGCATCAATCCGTGTGTGTGTGTGTGTGTATGTGTGTGTGTGTGATTGCTCTCATCTCCATCGGGCTGCCGGTATGTGTCAAATCACATTTCATTGCCTTCCTTCGGTACCATTGTGTTGTGTTTGGCACTTTGCCGTTACCGCGTCGTTCACTACCAGTCTGTTAGTGTTAGACGCGTAAGATCGGGGGACCTTACAATACCTAAAATCGTGGACCTTAGGGGTCACTGGCAATCTCAGTGACCGCTGTCGTCAAGACTTCCAAGGTGGCCACTGTTGTATCTCTAAAAGCGCTAGGTCTACTCGTAACATGGCCTCAGCAGCAGTACACCGAACACCCACGAACTGTAATCAGAACGAAATCACGACGCTGTTTGCACAATGTAGTCTGAATAATGGCCTATCAGTTTTACGGACCTAACCCATATGAACGATCTGTTTGTAACGATTCATTCAAATCAGCTGCAAGATAGGCTGCTTGCTTACGTGAGAACCTAAAACGTTGTCAGGAATGCAACATAACCAACGACACACTTCAGCTGAACTCGGTTAATTTGCAGGGCAGTTATGCCGTGCGCAAAAAGAACATTACAGAACTCCGAAAGAAGTTGTCCGTTGAGCCCACCGCTCACTCATGAAAATCGCACGGCAGACACGGTTATTGGCATTTGTTCTTCCGTTACTTAGAGCTTCTATCTTGTGAAAACCCCAACTCTATACCTACCTAAACAATTTACATACCTTCCAATTCTTTCGTCGCTTTAGCTTCAGTTAGCTTATAATTTATGCGTTCATCTTTGGTCTTCTTCTTTTCTTCTTGTTTACTTTTCGCATGACCTCATCTGCTATTCGGCTCGCATTTTTCGTCCGGTGGATGATTGTTAACCACGCAACATTTGATGCTATACAGTGCTTCTACAACATCAGCACTGCTGTAACTCTGCTTTTCAGCGTACTCAGCTGTCCTACAACAGGAATGACCCAGGAGGAATCGTACTGAAAGCTAGAAAGGGGTTCTACAGTAAAACTTAAATCACAGAAGCAACTAATTACGTCCAAATACCCAGTTCTTTGCAACGCCATTCGGTAACAGTCTACTCCCAATCGTGCGAAGGTAAAGCAGCATCGGAGGAGCACCTTTCTTACGGGTCTCACTGCGACGCGTCATGATCACCGTCGTTCCATGGATAACTCAGCATCACACACAATCTAAGCAGGTAGTCTGACTAGGAGACTTTAGCAAACGCGTCACTGTTGTCGGGAGCAGGTCATTTGTTGTGCGGTTCCTAAACTACTACAGAGCAGTGTTTCCGGGCGGGTAACGCCCAATTTCAGTCTACCACAGAGCACGTCCCGCGGACTCTTCTGGCACGTCAAGGACTGCCTACTTTAAGCATTGCATCGCGCTGAATCCTGCAGACAGACAAACCCCCATCCCGTAAGCAGCAGCAGCAGCAGCAGCAGCAGCAGCAGCAGCAGCAGCAGCAGCAGCAGCAGCAGCAGCAGCAGCAGCAGCAGCAGCAGCAGCAGCAGCAGCAGCAGCAGCAGCAGCAGCAGCAGCAGCAGCAGCAGCAGCAGCAGCAGCAGCAGCAGCAGCAGCAGCAGCAGCAGCAGCAGCAGCAACAGCAGCAGCAGCAGTCAAGTGGCTTTTCCGCCAACACTCGTCAACGCAACTTTGCCTTACTTGTTTAGCCAGTGAATTGACCAGATAATCACTGCTTAATACTGGGCTGCATACCTCACCCCTACGATCAGTGTGGTGACAATCGAAAAGTGCTCTACTATTTAGGCTACAAAGGTCCAGCGTGTAAAGGAGTTTCAGATCATCAGACCATAGAGACCAAGTGTCATCGTCGTGGAGGATTACACCGAGTGGACTATGAGCAGGCAACCTACTTCTTTAAGATGGCGTGTCGCAATTCAATCACACAATGTGTACTCCAAAATGACCCTCCAATTACTTCTTTGTTGTTTGTCCTGTGGGGTTCGTTGGCACCGCAAGTTCATCAGGTCTGATGATAAGCATGTAATTTTGAATCCCTATGAATTACGAATTTTGCACCTTTGCAACTTCAGGGAGATTGTAGCATCAACATCACCTGATGAGAGCCAACTCAAGATGACACAGTGTGGTTTCAGAAATTCCGTTATAATGTGAAGCAGCACACGAGAGACAAGTAGCAAATTGATGAGTTGTGGCTTTGATACTTGTGCTATTTAGTACCAAACAGCCAAGAAAGTAAACTCAGAGTTTGCAGCCCCACCTGACGCAAGTGCACGGCGCTAATCGATTTGTTTCCTCTTAATCATCCCGAAGACGTTAAAGTTTGTAAGTCGCATGCTTCCTGGTATAATTTTCCAGTGGACAGCTTTGGAATATATATCATCTCCCCAAAACCTAATGAATACAAGTTAGAAGCAGTCAGCAGAATTATTCCAGAAAGAGGTTTATTTACATTTGGCTCGGGTGTTTACAAGTACGGGGCAGGGGACGAGCAGTATGGAGGCAACATGATGCACGGTTTTATCGACTCGCAAAATGTATAAAGGATATAAAACAAGCTGAAAATAAGAAAGATAAAAAGCAACATGAAGGTGCGGTTTACTAACCGTGCCGCTCCGAAAGATCTTTGAATCCGAGCTCGCATTTCATCGCGACCGTTCATGTGAGGAAAAGGAGTCGTGATAGAGGGCTCAGGTAAACACAGGAATTTGCATAGAGGACCCCAACCTTCTCTTGGATCGAACAGTAATAGGCGCTTTGAGGGAATGTTTTCCGTGACCAGTTTGTTCCATTCTGTATATGCTTTTTTCAGCTCCTCATCGGACATGGTTGCGAAACTTGCACCAAACGCTCTTTGAAAGAGGTAATGATGTAATTCGGGAAGGCTTCCGACTCCACACCAGCGGAAGTAGAGTTTTTCTCCAAATGCCAACTTCCTGAGCATATCCGGGCACATTGTCGTTGCTCGGCAGCTACGAACCCACTCGTCTGGGTCTCTCGTAGTGAGGATGAACTGAAAACCAAAAACGGAATGGCCAGCCACATGTAAGTAGAAGAGATTGCTTGCTGAGCATCTGCACTAATGATACCTACTTGGAAGCAATTGCATCTGTTACGTTTATTAATTAACAAGAAGTAATCCAACCTTTGTAGAATGTTGTTCTGTAGGCTGTGTGACAGGGCATCAATACGCCAGTTTAGTTACAGTATTGTGTCTATACGGCTCCCCCACACCTGTCAGGGGCAGAGGAATATGTGGGGATTATCGTATTCATCAACGAATTCAGCCGGATCTTCTTAAGCAGCATATAGTTGCAGCACACCAGTTGGTAGTCTCTATTCCCGTACCGTCAAAGACGAGAAGAGCCATCAGTCTGTCACCCGGTTACAATCATTGCACTATATTCGCTTATGTGAACAAACTATGGTGCGAATCTCACTTGCTGTTCTTTATCAAAGAACTGAATAAGCAACTTTTCAAGAAATAGCCACGAGAAGTGTTTGGTTGTCGACTACTCTCATGGTCAGTAAATCGGTTCGGTAGGTATTCGACCGTATCAGTCAAGTCTAGCAGTTTGCACATGCTCTAGGGATATTTTCCTAACTAAAATACTTCTTGTGAAATGACTGACACTTTTCAACCTGTTGGATCATAAAAGTATGCCTCTAAATTGAATCAACTATTTCTTGCGTTCACTCCATAAATCAATGGACGCAGTTGCTTGTTAAGTCGCACGAAGAAATAAGTATTTATGTATTCCCATCGTTTACTTACCACCGAATTAAATACTGCTGCGTTTTACTGAAATCCTGCATCGCTAAGTTACAGCTATATGTATATATTCCTTGTTAGAGACGATTCCATCCCGAGGTGGATAGAGAAATTTTCCGTGCATAGCGGCCGAGTTCAAACCGGAAAAACTATCAGGGATCATGGCTACTGTGCCAATTGCACTGGATCAACTTGTGGCTCGATAACCATTATCATAGTGACTGTATTCCATTTGAAAGCACTACAAATGTTCAAAGACCTTGGTATTCAAAAACTATCAGTTAAAAACAATATCTCACCTTGGCTTTCGGATAAACAGACATCAACTGACGATAGAACACGCAGGTTGGATAGTCAACTGCACTGACTGCCATTCCATAGATGGAATCCCAAAACGGCTTGAACAACTGGAGTGCGATTTTCGCCTCATGTGCCGACCCATTGCAAACTTGGCACGCGTAAATCCACTTGCGGATGTGCTGCTCTTTCAACCGGAAAGCCACGTCGCTCATGTGATAGCATGGTGCTTGGAACAGTGTTTCCAATGCACTCTTCAGGCTAGTCGTGCCAGTTCTCATCTGGCCTACCCCAATCACCAATAAGGAAGAACAATTCTGCGCGGTCGGTTCCTCCATTCCGAGTATGTGAGCCGGCGTGATCAGGGGAAGCTGTCGCATCGGGCTCGGATACAGTACGTATACCATTTTGGAACTGTGTGCGCCTTTTAAAAGTAACCGACATTGCAACATAGAAGAAACGATGAGCTCATAAACATGTACATGCATAAATATAATCTCATCTAAGAAGTGCTGAGGAGTGCACCTTTGCTATTTACGTCTACACTACTATTGAAGGACCGTAGTGATTCCAAACAAGACTGAATACGGCTTAAGGTCATCTAGCATTTCTCACCTGTCAGTGGGGGATTGCATGATCTACATGTGATGTATGGTTTCACATTCGATCTTCGCGTCCGTTTTACCAATACTTCGCCCCTGAATGAGCAGAAAACATATATCACCTTCTGTTGGTGCAGTCTGATGACCGAATTCATTGGGAGAATTATCTTTTCCACTGAGCCATCCATCGCCCTCCTTAAATTGACATTATATCCAATCAAATCGCTTAGTGCCCCCAGTGTGTCCTTTCATATTCTCGCTTTAGCGTTCACTCACCCCCATGCTGGTGGCCTCAGCCATTTTTATACGCGTCCTTGCTTGGACGCAGTGCGCCAAGTTTACGATGCTATCCCCCTCCCCCCAACACTATTTCGGATTGCATCTTTCACTCACTTCCGCTACTTATCGTGTAACATAGGTGTCACCTTGTCAACATGTGTGAAGGCCAAGGCAGTGTTACCGAATTCCGGGTTGCGTAAGACGGACATGTGGGTTGCTCTATGCGCGGTGCCATTGCGAACACGCACTGTGCGGTCAGACTGCGGGGCCAAGGTTAAGCACCATTGGCTGACCGCATATTCGAGGCATAGGCAGTATGGGCAGTCACGTGATCCCGGTGCGAGCCGGAGGACAAGGTAAACCCAACGTGACAGGCACGTTACAGGCAAACGTGATATCGGCCTCCAACGTGAACGAACGCGTACTGAACGTTTGTAACGAATGGCGTCATGTTCTGTGCCGTGTTTCGGTTGCTGTCCATTGCTATACTACACTGCACTACGTACTAACGCACTGATGACGTCACCTCGACTGGTGATGCAACGTTTGCAAAATAACTGCCAAACTCAGAGAACAGTTTATTCAACAAATGAACAACCTGAACTTCCAACATTTAGTTCTATATCTGAAAGACATTGCTCGTATGGACGGCGGATGCGTAGGTCATTTTGTGGTACTGCTATAATCACTTCAGCGTTCCTCAATTGTCACAACAAGGAGGCTGTTCGTCTTAACGCCTTAGTAAACCTACTGACTGCTTTTGATATGCACACAGAATACCACGTTTTCCCGCAAGTCAGAACTTGCGGTATATTGAATGTTTGTCTTTAATGCGTTTGCTTTGATGGCAGGTAGTGGCGTGGCAACTACTTTTGCCGCCCGGAACGGATGTAAAATTGCCGCCTCCTGGCAGTTTTAATCCGTAAACCTTCAAACTTAAGAACAGCCTTTAAATACTTCGTTTCACATAACAACAAGTAAAGATCTAATTTTTGAGTGCTGCAGCAAATCCAGGCAGTTACATTGTTACAGTACACGTGGACACGATTTACAGATACACTTTTCGCGCAGTACTTGAGGTAATAGAATTGATAACACTATGCATCGTCAACTTCGCCCTCTATATCCAGAAGTGGCAATCTGTGACCTTTGTCTGGTTCAATGATAAATGTAGGTACTTCGTTATAAGCTTGCGTTTTTACAATGCGCGCTCACAGCTGGCAATGCTAATACTTCGGGTAAGAGATACGCGCAGCAGATTCCCTAAGGTAATATTGCTGTATGAGACTCAAAGTTCAAAAGGTACGATAATTTTGTCGTTTCCTGAAGCTTTCACAAACTACTGTAATCATCTACTTTTGGCAACGAATTCCTCCTTTTCTGTATCTTCGTCGAATTCACCAAGCGGACAACCATAGTTATTACCATGCAGATGTGACGGTGTAAGAAAAGCATATTTGTTCACAAGGTCACACATTGCCGAAATCTATGGCGTTTTATCCGTCAAACTGTAGGTGAAGGACAGCATTTCCTGTTTTAACGGTAACAAATCCCATGGTTATATCAAACAATTATTCACGATCCATTAGTTTCTTTTGATGGGTTCAACGCTTCATGCCTATCCCCAATTCAGCGCAATGTTTTTGGATCAATCCTTTGCAATGTCCACCATTTTCTCTCCATTCCAAAGTTGGCAAACTGTTAACATTGTAAGCTTGACAGAACTTTGCTGCAGATCCATCCCCTATTGTTTAGACATTTCTATGCATCCTTGATTAGTATGAGAATAGATCTCCAAAGGCTCAGAAGCAAAATAAACGATAAGGACAATACCGAGGTGAGAATTAAGGATGCATCTGATCTTGTGGTTTTATTTTCGCATTAATCTGTGAAATGTTTCAGAGAAGTGACGAGTTCCGAGTATTCCTTCACCACGATATTTGCAGCGCCTGCTCGACTACTTCATCTAGTTTTTACAGTCCCCTGATACTTAACCGGTGACTTGAATCAAGGCATTTAAGTAATAGCTAGATGAAAAACCATGTTACTAGCTGGTCCATCGTACTAAAAATATAGCAGAAGCTGCATGAACACGGAAACTGGTTTATGCTTGACCCAAATGTGGCCCTTGGACTGATTTTATAGATACGTCCCTGGAAACCCATATGTTGGCGCGCCGTTATAGCACCATTGTAAAATGTTTGGCCACGACAGCTGTCAATCTGAATTCCATCCTTCTCCGGTGCTCTCAAAAACAATCTAGCGATTTTTTCTGCAATTTTGCTGTTGGTTTCAGTGAAGCTGAGAAACCACTCCTCTACCGTCACGTCATTTTCACTCATCTAATTTTCATGGGATACATCGGGAGTGCTATCAAAAACAAACAGACTTTCTTTCCTTGACCTGAACCACGATTTCCTTTCTCATCTGCTTTACCAAAATGCTCGCTGCTTCATTTTAAACGTGTGACGATAAAGAAAAGTTCTGATTTTCCTACCTAGTTGAACTGTCACCAAATAATCACGAAGGACTGGCTCATACTTGGCCAATAAATGTACCATTTCTGAATAATTCCCACTTTTTCTGGCCTTCTTCGTCATCCTGGATGTCTTTTCATTGATCACACAGTGCCAAAGCCTATTTATGAAAACATTGATGTTTATAGGTTTTTGGGCCCTCTTGGAATAGCTCATAGGGATTTTTCTCATGTGAATATAGAGCGTAGGGTAGTTAGATCTAGGTAATTGCCGAGTCTGCTACTAAATGTTGCCACATGGTCACATGACCTGAGTGTTATTAGTAGTTTATTCCACAGATAGCTGTATCTGACCAGGAAGCAATTAGAGCGGACGTTCGTTCTAGCCATCGGTATATTCAATGTAAAATCTGTTGCGAAGCACTCGAGTTGAGCAGTGTTGTAAATTGAGTGTAGGCAGGTTGGAATAGGTCATTTTGTGTAACAAGTTGAAAAGCAGCAACAAGTTGTGACTCAATCGTCCAGTCCAAAGTGGTTCGAGATGAAGTTCCTTGTAATTTTCTCGATAACTCATAGCGGACTGTTTACCAATCAGTTGTTTAGTAAATGTCCTCTGCAGGTCGTCCACAGCAATTCTGTCCCTCTTTCTCATATTACCGGATATTATGCTGCAGTATTCGAGGATGGGCGAGTGAGTAGCTTGAAAATCTCAACTCTAGCACGAGTTGTGTGTATTTTGTTTGATATATTGAACATCGACTGTCTGGCACGTGCTACTTGGCATTGTGCTTGTTCGGAGAAATTGAAGGTAAACGAGTACCTAATGCCAAACTCTCACGTGGAAAACTTTGTAGAGACGAGTTCGTTGTTTAGGGTGGTAGATCCTTCAGGGATGCAGCAGCCGTAAGACATGATGCTTGATTTCTTAGCCGAGAGGTTCATCACCCATGAGCAGCATCATGACTCAAGGGAACGTAAATCTTCTTGAATGCGCAGTCCTGTCCCGTGAGGATCGTCATCCCGAAAGTTATAGACTAGTTTGATATCGTCAGCAAATAAAACTAACGTGTCATGTTTTACAGATGTGGTGATGTCATTGATGTAAAGTAAAAGGAGTAAGGGGCTGAGCACGATCTCTTGAATGACTCCACTGGTGATTGAGTGTGGGGAAGAGTGAGTACCTGATGACGATCACTCAGGTATGACGATAGCCAACCTAGTAATGGATCCGGGATCCCAAAGTTCTCCAAATTTTGTAACAGTCGCTTGTGCAGTACTCGGTCGAACGCTTGCTGTGTGTCAAGGAACAGGATTACTTCTGCATAGTCGGAATCGATTGATTCTAAAATGTGATTAAGGTAATGCGGTTGATAGGCGGTGCACGATCGCTTATTGAGAAAACCATGCTACGAATTGTTGATCTGGCCAATAGAATCAACAAAGTTTATCATCTCCATTCTGACCAGCTTTTCAAATAGCCGAGAGATTATCGGAGTGTGGTGGATTGGTCGGTAGTTATCAGTCGTTTGTTTGGGACCTCCTTTATGCCGTGGTATAATAAATGACTTTTTGCATTGGCCTGGAAAGTGATCAGACTCCAGCGATAGAGTGAATATGCTCATCAGTAGCAATGGTATATCGGGCCCTCCTAGTTTAATGGTTGTTTGTGAAATGCCATCAGATCCCAGCGTGGAAGATGGCCTGATTAATTTGATAAGTTGTTGGATAGCATTGAGCGAGATATCGACTCGGCTTAAGAGGTTTGTTTCTGTGAGCTCTGTGCACATAGGCACCGGGTCAGCTTCGCGACTCATGGTAGTGACAAAAAACTTCACGGCTTCACTGATTTCAGCTGGGTCATGGAGTAAGTGGCCCTCACCGCCAACAATTTCGGTAATCAGAGAAGAGCAGTCCCTGGTTCTACGATGCAGTATTTTGACAAGCTCCGTAGCTTTGCAGCTTGTCCGTAGGGCTATATCTGCTTCATTTTTTCGTGTTGTTGATTGCGAGTGTTTGACTCTGGTGGTAAATTCATGCATTTGTAAGGCAAGTGAAAAGTCATGCGTCTTTTTGTGTCTTGCAACTAACTTTCTGTTTTTTTTTTGCAGATTAAATGCTCGACGGAATCTTTGGAGATATGAGGAGTATGAATACATTGTGTAGCAAGGTGAGCTATAGCGTGATGGATTTGTTAATAGAACTGCTCCACAGCAGTGTACACATTGGTAGCGAGGAAAAATACATCCCAGTCAGAGAAACGAATGAACTGCTGAAAGCATTCCCAGTTTATCTTATGGGTTGCAACCGGCATTGTAGAGGCGAGTTTAGTGACCATTTTACTTTGGAAGCTGAGTGGGATCATGTTATGGTCGCTGCCAGGGCGATTGTTTAAGATCTCGATCTGTGGATTGAGTACCCCCAATGTGAATATTAAGTCCAGTACATTGGCGGACCTGGTTGGACTGGTAATCCATTGTGTCCAGCCCACAACTCTGATGGAAAAAAGAAAAGAGGCGTGCAAGATAGACGTTGGGTGGTATGACCAGCATATTTTAGGTAGGTTGAAATCGCCGGCAATAATC